CAACTTGGGCCACCCAGTAAGTGGGGCTGCCGGAAACTCTGTCCTCTGAGCTGTTCTTTGAAAGGAGGATCAGGGACTGGCTGTAGAGGCATGGAGGGCAATATCAGGGCCCAACAGGTCATCTTTCACAGAATCTGAAGGGAAAATTCTCTGTTGGGCTTTGCAAGCTGCATTTAGGCAGAGGATCTCTTCCCAATGCAAATTCAGGGGTAGCTGAGCTCTGTGCCCAGTGTTAGGCCCGAAGCATGGATCAGGAATGGGGCTGGGGGTGGTGTGTGAGAAGGGCCACTGGAGGTGGGATTGATGGGTCTGGTTGAGCCAAGATGAAAGCAAGGCTCGTGCTGGATAGACCTGGGCAGGTGAAAGAAGCCCGTGACTGTAGGTTTAGTCCCAAGAGGAGAGGTCTGTGCTACAAGTCCTCTGTGCGCATGTGCCGCACTTGGTGGCAACCTGTCTGCGCAGGCGCGGTGGGGAGCCATTACCAAGAGTGAAGTCTGGGCAAGTGAGGGCACTTTTATTGAGGTCTTAAGCGCACATGCAAGACTGAGCAGCGAGGGGCAGGGAAAGAGGTCACACTGACTCTTAGACCCACAATGCAAGTGGGCAAAATGGAAGGTGATACTGTGTGGTGGTAAATGAACTGATGTACATTCACATTTTCAAGGGTTAATTTGACCGTTTAATTGATCTATTCAGATGATTGAGCATGTCCACTTGTAGAAGGTAGCAATAAGGGTTTTACAGAGTAGGTGGAAGCAAAGGAAGGAGAGTGTTTTATTGCATACACCTTAAGCATTTCCTTGATTTTTGGAAGGCCTAGTTGACTGTAATTGCTTGTTCTTAAGTTAATTTTTGTCCTCTCCAGTACACTGACTGCGAATTACATCAAGGTTTCCCTACAGAGGCTTTGGGGCATTAGAACCACCGCAGGCTATGGCTTCCCTATTTCATTTAACTGTGGAAACATGGTTGGTAGGATATTATGTGGTGTTTATTTTAAATCCATTAGCAGGGGACATTTAGAAATAGTCCATTCAGTATAAGAATGCAGTCATGATGATGCAACAATCTCCAGAACCACCCAGTTAAGTCACATGTATTCACCTCAAAGATCACATTTCATGATGTGTGTGATAGGAAGAGTCAGACACATTCAACTATGTAGGCATATAAACAAGAAACTGTTGGAACAAGGACGTTTTCTTTACAATTACCGTGGTATATGATGCGTTTTGGTTTTTGTGAAATCGATTTTTACTGGTGTGAAAATACCACCCTCGTGTAGCATTAATAAAAGCAATTTGAGGGGCGCCTGGGTGGCGCAGTCGGTTAAGCGACCGACTTCAGCCAGGTCACGATCTCGCGGTCCGTGAGTTCGAGCCCCGCGTCAGGCTCTGGGCTGATGGCTCGGAGCCTGGAGCCTGTTTCCGATTCTGTGTCTCCCTCTCTCTCTCTGCCCCTCCCCCGTTCATGCTCTGTCTCTCTCTGTCCCAAAAATAAACGTTGAAAAAAAAAAATAAAAGCAATTTGAGAATAAGTTTGATGTGACAATATTTATAGAAACATTGAACCAAGCACAAGATACTTTAGTGCCTGTGTTACTCAATTTCAAGGGCAATTTCACATACACTCTGAATTTGCATAAGACGGAATATCCACCTCTACTTGAAAAATAGTTATCTCCGAAGGTCTAGCTATTTTTGACAGGAATTAATGTTACTTTTTATTTAAATATTTTATAAGCATATACTTTATAATTTTCATATTATAATTCATGATATGCCTAAGGTAGTTGTTTTCTATCACTACCATAACCAGTCATCATGATTTTATAAGCAAATGTTAATACAATTGTGTTGTTGTTAAGTGTGAATTTCAGTGGACATGGCTTTGCTTTCTGTTCAGGGTCTTGTGAGGTTAAAAATCAAGGTTTCGTGAGGCAAATATCTTCTGGGTCACCACACTCATTCCCTTATCTTTATGTATGCACAACCACAAGTCTGCTTATTTACGTTTTCTTTTTTCTACTTTTATTCAGAGAGAAGTTGTACACATTAGTCTAATATAATGTGTCACTTAAGGATTTGATACATGTATATATTGCAAAGTATTTACAATAAACCTAGTTAACATCCATCACCTCACAGTTAGAAATTTCTTGGGTGTGATAAGAAACCCAAGAAAGCTACTCCGTTTAGCATCTTTCAAATAGGCAATACATTATTGTGAATTAAAGCCAGCATACACCTTATATACATACCACATTATCTACTTTTCTGACAGGGGCCACAAATGTTTTTCAAGTCTTGGCTTTTAGGAATGTTGTGGGTTTTTTTTGAGTTTTCACACACTTGAGATTTTTATTTTGTTTTGTACTTCTAATTGGCTTCTGGTTTTATGTCATTGTGTTTGAAAAAGATACTTCATGATTTTTTTTTCTTTTAAGTTTGTTCCTTTGGAGATAAAGAGCACCAGAGTAAGCATATGAGGAGGGAAGGGACGGAAGGAGAGGGAGGGAGAGAGAATCCCAAGCAGGCTCCACCCTGTGATTGTGGAGTCTGATGGGGGCTTAAACCCAAGAACTCTGAGATTGTGACCTGACCAAAGTCAAGAGTTGGACACGTTTGAGCCACCCAGGCACCCTGCTTCATAGGATTTCAATCTTAAATTTATTATGATTTTGTGACCCAACATGTAACATATATTAGACAATGTTCCATATGTACATGAGAAGAATGTGTTTCCTGCAACTGTTGGATGGAATGTTGTAATACACCTACTTAATGGCATTGAAGTCTGATATTATTGATTTTCTGTCTGGATACTCTACTCATTATGGGAAGGTGCACAATTGAAGTCTCCTGCTAATATATCTTGTCTTTTTCTCTATTCTTGTCTGTTAATAGTTGCTTTATATTTAGGTGCTTGTGTGTGGGGTAGACAAATATCTACCGAAGTTCTATCTTTGTGTTGAATTGATTCTTTTATTTTCTATTAGTTCTTTTAAAAAAAAAATTATGTTTATTTACTTTTGAGAGCAAGAGAGACAGAGCTTGACCGGGGGAGGGGTTGAGAGGGAGACACAGAATCTGCAGCAGGCTTCAGGCTGTGATCTGTCAGCATAGAACCCGATGTAGGGCTCGAACTCAGACCGCGAGATCATGACCTGAGCCGAAGTCA